CTACCTCTGAACTTCTTACTGGTGCTGGGGTCCCTCTTATCAGCACGTTCCTTATGGTCTTGATACGATCGTCCTCTGCTCTTGCCTGTGGAACCTTATCATCTGGTGGGTTTTCTGGACCTTACACAGTTTATCTACTGCCCTTAATCTTTTAACACCTTCCTTCACTGTCCACCATGGCAATTCTGGCATTTCTATCCCACTTAGCGTGGCCTTTTGGTTTTTCACGCTTCTAGGATGAGTTCATACCATCTCTGGGAGTCTTTGCTGGGATGTTAAATTCCCAGTCCCCTGATCCAGCACCCTCAGAATCCAGTCCCACGTGCACTCTCCAGGTTCTTGCTGGTACATGCTGCTCAGGTCTTGCAGCTCCTGGGGTATAGCTCCTCTCCTCCCTTATTATACCCATCAGGCCTCTGATTGAGTTAAGTCCTTGACTGAATTAACCTTAGTTATGTTTAGTGGCCAAGAGGGGAGGGGAGGGGACATCCTGAAGGGGTTGCATGTTGACTTGTGGGAAGAAGATGTTGTGTTTTCTTCAAGCAAGGGGGAGGGGCACTTCTGCAGGCTCAGAGGGTTCACAGGAATCTGGGAATCCAAGATCTTCACGGGTATCAACTAAGATGTCCCCATTTCATATGTCAGAACCCATCCTTTTCCAACAAGGGCTCCAACCTGGTCATAGCAGGCCTGCCTTGGCTGGAAGTTTAGCCTTCTTTGGAGCATGGCTATTCAATTGAATTTAGCAATAGTCACCCAATTACATTGTCCTTAGTTACAATTTCCCCCACATTCCTCGAACACTTGATATATCACGCCAGCTAATGTGTTCTGTTTCACCAGCTTACCACCCCAATCTACCATTTTAATATCTGGACCCACCTTGTGCCAGGGGCTATTTGTGCTCCACTCACCACCAGCAATGAGGTCCCATTGACAGCCAAGTGGCAAATGATCCAGTTCCAAAACCCCATCTTATCTTCTGCTTTCTTGAATCACTTCTGACACCAACTGTCCTGGGTTGAATCCCCAAGAACCAGACAGGGATTAGGATACAGTATGTTTTTTAGAACACGCAATCAACACCTGAGGAAGCAGGAGAAGGAAGCAGGACTGAGCAGAGGAAGAAGCTCAGTTATGATTCAGCCCCATAACAGCCCAGTCGGCCCCATAGGGAGTTCTGGAGTTGAAACAGCCCATCAGACTTATCTGGTGTGGGGTCAAGATGACGGGGCCTTTATATTGCTTACCTCGATCAGTCACTGGACGTGGGCTTCCCTAGAATGGAGTGACTTACAGTCGTGGCAATCCCTGAAGGGACCAATAGCTGCAGCCTGTCTGCCGACAGCACTTCTGAGAGCAAGAAAAACTAGCCCTTCCTCAAAGGGCGATCTGTGCAGCATGGCTTCATGTCCATCACACACTACATCACAGATGCTTAAATATTTTCATAACGGTACATAACGGGTTTTCTTTGTAATCCTATGTATTTTGTTTTGTGCATTTAAATATGTTCTTCAGAGAAGGGGTTTCATCAGACTACCAAAGGGTTACATGGTGGGAAAAAGGTTAATAACTCTCTGAAATAGAGGTATACAATGATGTCTTCTCTCTCGGGAACTTAATCTGAAATTTGGCTTTCATCTTTTTCTCTAGTTACCCACCACCCACTTCAAGGTCTGCTGACATATTCAAATATGTCAGAATCACACAATAGATAAGTTCAGGTTCTTTTCCTAAGGGTCTTTTTCACCCCCATGTAAGTCAAGGTGTGTATGTGTTAACTTCCACCCAAATCCTCTCTCCTTTTCTTCCTTGGCACACAACTCTCCTACATTTATTGGTCTCCTTGCAGTTAGGGATGGCTGTGTGACTATATTCTAACAGTAGAATATGATCAGATGTTAATTCCAGCCTCTACAATCGCCAGTGTGCTTCTGCCATTTGTTCCTTCCCGTTCTGCCAGTTGGACCCTGTATGTGATGACCCAGCCTCCACCAAGCAAACATCAACAGGGCTCTAAGGAGTGGCAGAGCCACAAGATGCAAGCAGCCTGGGTTCTCAAATCTCAAGTGAAGGAGGCCACCCACCCACCTGGAACCCTCCCTGCTAGACTGTCAGGGGAATTGTGTTTGAGCATTACATTTTGGGGTCTGTTACAACAGTTTAGCTTACCTTGACTGAAATAGTATGTGAATAGATTTGGTAGCAGAGTGCCCAAATTCTACGGGTACCTGGATCTTAGTTCCAGTGCCACCTGGGACACTATTACATAAAGAAATTGAAGCCCAAAGAAGTTAATCAATTTGTCTAAGATCACACAAGATGGCTAAGATTAGGACCCAACTATTTGCTCTCCCTGTGTCTTTCTACCTTCTGTGGTTCTGTATGGTGGGCATGGTGTGCTGAATGTGGTCGTGAGATTTCTATTTCAGCAAAAGGGAGGGGCAGGGAGAAAGGGAGGGGATACATTTTCTTGGCCTGAGTTAGTGAGCCCTTAGTACCTACAGTGATTAAATTATCTGGAATGAACACTCAGAACTCCACATTACATACAGTTAGATGACAGATCTGCTTAAGATTGTTTCAAGCATCCATTACCTCACTTTAATGTACACAAACGTGATCATTCAGTATCTGGGGACCACAGTGTCATAAGGGCCCTGTCAGTTCACAATTATCCTATATCTTAAAGGAAAGAAACTGAGAAATTTGAATGGAGGATAGTGTTAATTTGACTACTACAGTTTATTTTACATATAGAAATAAAATAACGTGTAGCAAAAGCATTGATAATGAAGATGATGTTGAAATAAATAACTACTATTTATCATTTAACGAGTGCCCACTATTTGTCAGGCACTGTGTAAGAAACTTTACACACATGTGCTATGTAAGAAATTTTCATATGTATATAAATGAGAATTTGTATATTCTCATTTAATCCCTGTATCAGTCAACTTTGCTGTGGTGACAACCAATTTTCAAAATCTCAGTGATTCCTACAGTAAGTGTCCACTTCCTGCTAGTGTGATATGTACTTTCTCGTGTTTTTTCATTCTGGGACCTAGGCTGAAGGAGCAGCCCTATAGGGACATGCCATTCTGGTGGTGGCGGGGAAGAGTAAAAGTGGTAGGAACTCACAATGCCTCTTAAAGCTTCTGCTTGGACAATCTACAAAGACCATCACACAGCCTGGCCAAATCTCACTGGGGGAGTGGAGACTGGGAGCAATGCAGGTCTCACCAAAATAGGCCAGGACATACAATCCCCATACAGGAAAAGGAGAAAGGCAACAATTGGGGACAGTAATAAAACCTCAGTCCTGCAAGACTGATGTTAATTCCAGTGCCCTCTTCACTTTCAGAGAGATGAGTAGCTTTGCTAAGCTCCTGCCAAAGGTTGGAAACATCCATTCCAGTTGGGGTGATTAGGTGAGGCTTTGGTAAAATTTGAGCTACAGTTTGAAAGTTAGCTAGGATATTGGTGGGTGGGGAAAGAGCAAGGACTTCTGAGGCAAAGAAACACAGTAGAGCTGGGGAAGAGTTGCAGACAAGCTCAGGTGGCTGCAGAGTAGATGAGAGATCAAAGTGGAGAGGACAGGGAGTCAGGGGATGGGGCAGGCGGTGTTGAATGCTGGGGAGTTTAAGGCTAAGGAGGTGAACCTCACTTGGGGGGCAGTTAGATATTTTTGAGCAAGAGAGTGTCGTGATTAAAATCATTGCTTCTGAAGTCTGATCTGACAAGGGGGTGCAGGGTAGGCTGATAGAGGGAGAAACAGAGAGCAGGGAGACCAGTAAGGTCACTAAATGTCCAGAGCCAAGATAAGGGTCTAGGATGGCGGCAGTTGGAATAACAACAAGAACAAAAAGGTCAATTCCAGAGACTCAGAACCAGTGGCTTAAGACATTAGCCCCCATCTCTATCATCCACCCAGTGCCCCCAATAATAATATATTGAACCCGTGTGAATAAAACATTTTTAATCATTTGCTTTTTGTATTAAACTATAACATACAATTTTTTTTAAGACTATAGTAAGAGCTATGCAAATTAAAACTGATAGAAGTTCCCATCCCCTAGGACAAGACGGCTGCTCCCACACCCCCAATCGTGTGAAGCCTCCCACCTCCAGAGCTTAAACGAGACGTTGGGGAGCCCCAGCCAAGGCCAGCGGGGGAACTGGGTGACCGGGAGAATGAAGGCCTCCGGTGAGTTTGTCTGAGTTGTGTTATCCGAGGGAGAATCCCCAGCAGGCGCTTAGAAATTCAGATCTCAGACTCTAAAACTTACAGTATAACGGTGTTTCAACAAACGAGGTAAAAATAACTGTCTGTGAAAATGCTCTGCAATGCGATAAGCGCCATTTAAATCTTCGTCTAATTTAAGATTTTATTTTAGAGTGGTCACAGTTAGATAGATTCGAACACTCCTTGTTATAAAAAAAACCTGCACTACCGTATGACAACTGAGTCAGCCTGTTTTGAGTGGATTTGTTAAGAATTCACCTTGGTCAATAACAAAAAAGGTGAAAAGCAAGCAGGTTGAAAGGAAGCAGACGGAGGGAAAGTGATCTCCAACAAGGCGGACCCTTTGGGGAAAGTCGGGAGGGTCAGGGCGTCCGGCTAGCGGTAAGCAGGACGACCTGGGGTTGGCCTTGAGGTGCGGGGGTAACAGACTGGGGAGCCGGCCATGTGGAAACCCGCCAGGGACCTTTCCCAGATAGGACATCATCCCGGGTCGACGGGAAGGAAAGGGGCAGCACATCTGGGGGTGGAAAACCCACCCTCTTTCCGACCACAGAGGGTAACGAAGCCTCCCTGCGGAGGGAGGAGACCCCTCAAACAAGACAAAGGCTCCAGCCGCGGGAGGAGACCCAAAGTGCGCGTGCGCCATAGATCGCGCGTGCGCGTGGCGGTCAGCGCCGGGCCTGGGGCGTGGGGGGAGGGGAGACCCGGGAAGGGAAGCGCCGAGAGGACCGAGGCAGGAGGCAGAGGAGTGCCGAGCGGTGGGGCGCTCGCGCGCGCCCACTGGTGGCCGGAGGAGAAGACGTCCGCGGAGGCCTAGCTGCCCGCCCCTCCCCTGGGGAGGCTCGCGCTCCCGCTGCTCGCGCCTGCGCGCCCGCCGGCCTCGAGAGCGCGCCCTCTCGCTGGTGCGCGCGCTCGCAGTCTCCGACACCCACCAGCTCCGGCACCAGCAGCAGCGTCGCCGCCGCCGCCCACCTTCTGCCGCCGCCACCACAGCCACTTTCTTCTTTGCTTTCCTCTACTGTCCTCGCCCTCTGTCGACTATCAGGTAAGCGCGAGGCTCGGAAATCTGCCTCCCCGTCCGCCCCGCTGCACCCCCATGCCGCCGCCCCTCGCCCCCGCCTCATGAAGTGGGCATTGGTCGGGGGCAATGGTGGGGGCCCCTCCCTGCGCCCGCTGCGCTCCGGGGCTGGTACCGGGCGGTTTGGAAAGGGACCCATGCAAGGGATGCACGCGCGCGTGTGACTGTGTGTGTGTGTTGGGGGGGGGGTCCACAGGACCCGCTTCGCGCGGACCTGGGCACAGGTTGTGCCCGCAGGGTGGGGTGCAGATGGCGGTGACCTGGGGGAAGGGGCTTCTATGCGCTCTCGGTCGCCGCCTTTTGCGGCAATGGGCGTATGTCTATGTGTGTGTGTGGTGGGGGGAGGTTCAATGACGACCCCCGAAACCGAACCTGTTAGCCGATTTCTCTGTCTCGGTTTGCAATCAGCCCTAAGGAAGGTATGGATCAGGTTCTAGAAAAGATGACTCCCTGCCAGCCCCTCCTTACACCTCCCCGGCAGCAATTCCAGCCGGGTTTTCGCTGCCCATGATTTAAGGCGGTGGCCCACGCCCCCCCCGTTTTCCTCCTTCAGAAACCCGCAGGGGACATTTGGGGGCTGGGAGTGGAATCGAGGAGATGGGGAGGGGTCCAGGCGCTGTCACTTTAGTTGCCCTTCCCCCTGCGCGCCCCTGGCACCAAGACTCGAGCAGCGCCGTGCCCGAGACGGTAGTGCGCGGATCCCAATGTGGAGGCTCGGAAAGGCAGGGGTCACCTGGCCTGGCGAGGTGGAAGGACTCGGCAGCGGCCGACCCCTGCTCGCAGGCGCTCACAGCCGCAGCCCGGCACAGACGGACGCGGGGGCTGCAGGTGCATTTCGGGGCGGGCCCCTTTCTCTGCGCTCGGCGCTGTTCGCTCGGCCCCCGGCGTCCGGCGTGAGCGCTCCCTGCCGGAGGCGCGGGGCTGGCGCGCAGGACTCGCCCCTCACTGCGGCAGTGGGTGTGGACCCTGGTGGGCGAGAAGGGGGAGGGTAGGTTGTGCCTCCTCCCACTCCCACCCCCGCTTTTTTTTCCTCTCCGAACGCGAGGTGCCATCTTTTTGCGGTGTGTCACCTCTTTACAGTACCATGCCAAGCCGGGTGGCTGGGTTTCGGAGGACAGGGCCGAGACTGTCATTAAAGGAAAGGAGGGACAATCGGCAATGAAATCTTGGCGTTTTGCTGCTGCAGCCTTGAGCCCCCGGAGCGTTCACCCGGGATCTTCCTCGGGGTCTCGCTGCTTTGTTTGTCGGGCTTACGTGACCTGCGTTGCCAGCCCTGGTTTTTTGGCTTTTATTCTATGAGGGTGTTTAACCAAGGCTCCCGCCCCTCCCCCCGTTTTTCGCCCCTCGTTTCCGAGCCCTTTGTTAGATTTCAGGGCTTGCTGGGGTCGAGGAACTCGAGTCACAGCCCGGGGGGCACGCCTGGAACGGGCGCGGCCCCCCTCCCGCGGGGCCGAAGGGGTGGGATTCGAGGTCTCCGCGCGCTGTGCGGATGGCCGCAGAGGGACGACGCCCCTCCCCACACCCAGAGCTTCCTGGGGGCCACGCCCTACCAGGCTGCAGACCAGGGGTCACCGGCGACCCCCGGGAGGTGGGGGGTAGTTTGCAGGCGGGGCCGCTCTCCGCTTCACGCCCTGTTGCTTCGCCAGGCAGGAGAATGCGAGGAGGGGGCCTGAGGTTTTCTCCGGTGCTGCAGGCCACACCCATTTTTCCCGAGCGGACTGGAAGGGGGGCACTGAGGGGAGGTTGCCATGGAAACCACACGCGTCCGGTGCACGGACTTGGGGGGGGGTGCCCCGCCCCTTCCCAGCAGAGATTGAGAATCCTGGGGTAGGCGGGGCCGCGCCCCCTCGGCTTCCTTGGGGGAGACCCCTCCCCGCAAACCCTGAGCCTGTGACTCTTCCCAATTGGCCTCCGGCGGCCGCAGCCGCCCATATAGGCGTTCCTCATGTATTTTTTTTTTTTATTGTGGCCCAATATTATTTCAGAAACGTGCGGGATTTTCACTAAAAAGCCTGAGTTCACCGACGCCCTTGAAACCGGTGGGGAGGGGGTATTGCCGGGGCTGCGGGTACCGACCTCTGGCCAACAAGTCCGAGCTTCGCCCTCCTGCGATGAGCCAGGTCCATGCGGCTTTCTGGTTAATTCTATCGCTGAAAACTGGTGCGAGGACGCAGTTGTGAGAGGGATGAGCATTTTAGGGGCTTAACCATCCACGCGAGCCGCGCCGATTGAGCTGAAGAAATGGCTCGGCTCGGGATCGAGAGCCTGCCTGGGGCCGGGCCGAACCGCCCCGGCTGTGGCTTCGGGGGTCGGAGCCGCGGCGCTGCGAGGCCTCCCTGCGGAGCTGAGCCCGCCGCGGGTGGGTTGCAGGAGAGCCTCAAGGACCGATTCGAGTATATTCTCCTCTCTCTAAAACCCCTTCATAAATCTGGGCGCAGGATCCTGGTTTCAGAGAGCGAGGGTCTCGGAGCGGCCCTGGGAAGCGGAGCTCGCGCTGACCGCGGTGTGGGGCGACGGACCGCGGGCCGAAAGGTCCCCTCCTGTCGGCTGGGCGAAGGGGAGTGCGGCCGGGGCGAGCGCGTTTAGCCCAAAGCCGGGAACAAAGCGCCATCCAGGCCTCCGTGATTTCGCTCCATTTTGAAATGTATTGGCGGTTTGGTGGGGTTCTCGGGTCGGCAAGGCCTGGGGGCTGTTAATGGAGGAACCGCGGGGGCTGGGGGATGGTCCTTCGTGCGCAGATCGGAAACGCCATGCCTGGCTCTGCGCGCGCTTTAACGAAACAGCTTCCCCTCAGATGTCAAGGGATGCAGCGCTTGCGCCCGTGCTCTGACGGTGCAGCGCTGAGCCAGCCGCCGCGCCTGGGGATATGTCCCGGCACGGATCCGAGGGCCATCGTCTCCTGTCCCCGAATCCCCAGCAGGCAGAGGCTCTTGTACGTCCGGGGAGATTCTACTTGGCGTCTGGCGCTCAGGAACCTGTAACTCCATGCCCAGGTTCCCGACTGGTCCGGCTTGGGATGGATGGTGGGACCTGGGACAGCGACTGCCCGGCCCACCCTTCCAAGGCCACCTCGCTCAGCCGGACGGCTTTGAGTTTTCTCTGATCCCCGTCCCTCCAATTGACCCGTCCTGCAACAGAAAGAGAAATGCCTTCTCTACCATAATTAATTAAGGTATTCTTTTGCATTTTAGGATGCTGCTTATGTTTACCACATAAGAATTCCTTATCCATTCCCCCGTCTCCAGACCCTCCCTCTAAACGAATAAATAAATGACACCCCCTTCCCAGCGCGCGGTCGGGAGTGACTCTTCAAGCTAATCAATTCCTTGGCCTGCGTTTGCTTCTCTAACAGGTGTGTTTACTGCAATAACCTGGCTTCAGTCGTGGGTTTGGCCTTCGGACAATTTGGGGGAAGGGTTTCTTGGCTTTGCTGTTTTTGGATGAGTGACAGTCCACGATTGTGTGTCCCTGCCCTGCGCAGACCTCGTCTGCACAGGCCCATTGCAGAAGGGCGTGGCTTTTAAGTGGTTTCCAGTATCAGCTCCCCTGACAGGAACAAAAGAAATGGATTATTCCTTCGAATTGCAAGAAGCAAACTTAGAGTGGGTTAGGTTGAGGCAGGGTCACGTTTATTCCAGTTGGGAAGAGCGCCTTCTGTTGAACACCCCTTTGACCCACGTGCCCTTGATAGGGCAGTGCTGGCCTGGAATGTAATAGGATTGTGGTGCCCTTTGTTTATGCTGAATTTTCCTTCTGCCCTTTTAACATCAGTTCATGAAGCCCATTTGTTGAAAATTTTAGGAAACTGTGTTTTATTCCACCTTTCCTCAGCATTTACGTATATGGTTTGAGTGGCCTTACAGCTGCATGTATTAACAGGTGTTAGTTTCCTGATTAAACACATGATGGTTTTCCAACTAGACTGTCCCTTCTATTCAGTTAGATGGTATCTTCCTTACTCCCACCTTGAAAAAGAATCACTCAAAAGCACAAACACCCTGAGGGGCTTAGTACAGTGCTGGACATCCGATAGGGATGTGGGCCATACTCATCTAAGAAATGAATAAAATGAGGAAATGCAGTTCCAAAAGGTGGTGAAGAGGAAACAGAATGGGAGGAGGGATTTATTCAAGGTCATGGCATCAGGAAGGTTTGGGGACAAATCAAATCCAGTTTGTCCCCCGCTGTGTCCAAATGACACCCAGAAAGCTGCCTGAGCTTCTCAATGCACCACGGCCCTCCCTCCCTTGCCTCCACGTCTTCTGCCTTCCCACTTCCCGGCTTATGGCCCCACTGCCTGGTCCCCACTGCTCACCTCACTGCGTGGGCCAGAAGGGCACAGACACGAGGAAAGGACAGAGACCACACTCCACTCCGGGGGAGGAAGCCCCTGCCCTGCCACCTTTGGGTCGCGTGCTCCACCTTTGCCACATGCTCCTCCTGCAAGAAGGTCAGAAGGATGAAGTTGGGAGACCCCATTTGCCTTTGCTCCTTCCCGTTCCTCCCACCTTGCTTTTCTCATCCTCCCACTTCAGAGACCCCCCTCCCATGCCTCCACATTTCCAGAAATGCCCACCTGACCCACCACTCTGAACTTGACGCCCTAGGTGCTTCTGTCAGTGACGTGGAGCTAGTGTTGGGGAGGCACCTTGGCAGGCATGGGGAAGAGAAGCCCCCAGCCTCACCAGCTGCACTGCAGCAGGGAGAGGAACCCGATGTTCCAGCTGGGACTCCCAGCTGTTTTCCTGTAAAACAGTGGTTCTCAGCCCCTGGGGCTGTGGAGATGTCTAGAGACAGTTTGTATTTTCACAACTGGGGGAGGATGCTACTGGAATCTAGTGGGCAGAGGCCAGGGATGCTGCTAAACATCCTACGAGGCACAGGACAGTCCCGCACATCAAAGGATGATCCAGCCCCAATGTCACTCGTGCTAGTGTTGAGAAGCCCTGCTCTAGAACCGTGGTTAC